AGTACATTGCACTGTGGTATCTATATGTACAATACACTAAAGGCCCACCAAGCTCAGTACTCATCATACAGCACAGCTTAAATACAAAGCAAGCGAGCAGACCTTCAGCACAGGCTCACTCACAAATTACACACAGCCAACAGGTGATCAACAACAACAACAACAACAACAACAACAACAAACAAATGAAAAACTGGAGGAACTTTTTCAAAGCCTCGGCGGGCTCTGTAGACAGCAGACAGACGTCCAAAGCATCAGCAACAACTCAGACATCATCAGGGGGGAAAAACAGCAAGCAGACAGACAGACAGACACAGACAGACAGACACAGACAGACAGACACAGACACAGACAGACTGAGAGTGTATCTGACTCACATTTGTAGTCCATTCACTTTTCTTTCATGGAGGTGAAGTGTCCACTGATGTCCAGCTGCACTTGACAGTCACTTTGTTTGTTTGTTTGTTTGTTTGTTGACGGAGGTCTTCATGTCCCGCGCTGCTAGCTCAAAAGCTCGTTAGCTGATATCATTAGCAACACTCAGCTAACTAACGTTACTGCTACTGGACAACTACCTGTTGTTTCATTATAATTAAGTTGTTTGTCATTTGGCCAAACTAGGACAGGCTTCGCGGTTTTATTTAGTTTAGTTTCTTCTCCAGCGAGGTGTCCGTTTCCCAGTTTCGCAGTAGCATTAGCATGGTCGCTTTTGATACTAAACTATGTTTTAATCAAAGGATGCTAATTTCACCTGGTAGACTTCAGTAAGGGTGCAATATTCGTTTTGACCACACGCACTTGCTGACATGAGCCAGCCCTTCCAACCCAGAGGGGCGCTGTTGCACTCGTTTCCAATAGGAATGAGACCAATAGGTTGTATGTGTCACTACTTGTGAATTGGCTCTGAACGTTCACTCTGGATGTAAACAACAATTTTCCAATATGAGCTTTATTCCTAGGAAATGGGGCTGGCTTCCAGAACCCGGACTGCATGCTTGAGTGTTTTCTTCTTTCTGAAAACAACCTTGTGTTCCACTTCATCCTTTCCAGTCCATTTTTTTTCCTATTTAACCAGAATCACAGATATGTTTCTGAGGCTTTTACTGAGCCTTGACCCTAAGACCCTCGATTCAGATTAGGAAAAACTCCCTCGGCAATATAATAAACCGTATTAGGGTGATGAGTTCAGAAAATTGACCAGCTGCTTCCAAAGATACTGTCCAATTCAAACATTAACATTACAGGATACTACCAACACACATGACAATATCTTTATTATTCTCATGAATGAAATACAGAATATAAAGTATTTAAATATGTTTATGCCATACATTATTTATATATACTTGCAAAAAACAAGAAAAAAAACATTATACATTTTAATTGAATGCCAGTTATCTGTATCCAATGTGTGCGTGTCTTTAACTGTATTTTTTGTTCATAAACATGGATCCTGCAGTGCTACTTTAAATGAGATACTCTTGTATGTTCCAGTATTTACCGTCATATGTTCCTGATTCTCAAAGTGTATTGTCTTTGAGATCATTCGCAGCCCTTATGTGAAATGGAGGATTCAGCCGTGGCCTTGAGTGAACAGAACTGTGTGTGTGTGTGTGTGTGTGTGTGTGTGTGTGTGTGTGTGTGTGTGACAGTAGCTATGTTCTTCATGTGTACCTCAGATAATGCCTATACAGCTTCTTAAGCTTTCAGCTAACTAGAAGTCTTTAAGGCTCAGATTGTCTTGTATTGTATTTGATTCTATTGTGCGTCAAGACGTTGATGAGAGTGACAAAGAAGTGACAAGACCGGACCGGAGGACAGATGGAATAAAGTTTCTGCACAATTTCCCTCGTTTGGAGAAGATGTAGACGGGAGGTGCGAAGAATATGATAGACAATATGATAGAAAGAGAGAAAGGAGGAGATATTTGCGGTTTCATTTTCTAGATTCAACAGACTCTATTAAAAATCTTCCATCAAATTTTACATGTTTGTGTTAATGCTCGCTCAAAAACTATCAAATCAATTCATAAGCTTGCCTATTGATATGTGTGTGTGTGTGTGTGTGTGTGTGTGTGTGTGTGGGGGGCACATCCATCCTCAAAACATCTTCCTTTAAAAGTCAGGCCAAAATAATGAGAAAGTCCTTTGTACAGACAAAAGAGCAGCCCCCAAAAAAACAAAAAAAAACAAGAAAAAACCCCCCAATGTGTACCGAGTCATAAACAATTGGTGGCAAATAACAGCAATTTCACAGCTAATTCGTAGATTTCACGTGTGGATGCCTCCATCACCTCCCTCCATTTAATGCTGTGAATAGAGACACACGCTGACATTACAACCGTGAGACAAGATTCAGTGTGTGTGTGTGTGTGTGGTGGGTGGAGGTCTTAGGTCTAATGATTTAAGCCTAGTTTGAGTGTCAGACCGACTGCTGGGCAACAGAAATGTGCAGAAATACACACACTCTGTTGTTACTACAGGTGTCAAAATGACTGTAGTTGAGAGCTGATTGTTAAGAGTGTGTAATTATAATACACAGCTCATATGAAATCACAGTATAGTCCCCCAAAACTAAATTTTTTACTTTGGGAAACGGCTTCCAAGGATGTAAAATATCCATTTTTAATTGTGTTTATTAGCTACCTCTGCTTAGTAGAACATGTTTTCGGTGTTGTTTGCTGAGACAGACAGCAGAGCAGAGAGGCCACGGTGGGAAGACAGTGAACCAGGTGAAGTGGAGGTAACATTTTACTCGAGTTGACGACAAGAACTAGTTTGTCTGTTGACAATAACTCGAGTAAAATGTAGAAAAGGTAGAAAAGTGATATTTCTTCCTGCTTTGCCCACAGGTTTTGTTCCAACGGCAGCCCACTTGTTAAGCTAATAGTGAACCTAACAGAACCCTGGCAGGTCTGAACATTAATAGGGCAATTTTGGCAAAACTGAATTTCAAACCAAAGTACTCATCGAGTTTGACTGAAGTGCAGACTGAAAGTTGATGCAAAAGATGAAAAGACCGTCTTTATTGGTAGTTTTCATTCATTCCGCCACTGATGATGTGTGGATGGAATGAGTGACTCCAAAACGAGGCAACTGGCCACATTACATTACATTTAGAAATAATAAGTGTCAAATGGGATGGGACCAGTAAAAAGAAGCTAGTGAAGCAAAGTGAAACAGCTGCACAGAGGGAGAAGAGGAGGAAGGGGCCGAGGAATGAGCCCTGTGGAACCCCTACTACCAGGCAGCGTGGGTTAGACCCTTTCCATGTCACTTGGTAGGAGCGAGCAGTCAGGTAGGAGGAAACAGAGGGTGTGCAGAGCCTGAGGGGTCTAACTGCCAGCAGCAAATGAGCACATCCACAGGAAACTCCCCAATGATGCTAAAGCTCTTCTCTACCTTAAAGGAATAGTTTGACAAAATAGACTTATCCGCTTTCTGCTGTGTGTTAGGATGGGAAGATTGATACCCCTCACCAGTGCATTTTAAATGTAAAGCTACCGCCAGCAGCTGGTTAGCTTAGCTTAGCACAGGAAAAAAAGGGGGAAATATTAATTTTGAACAGATTAAAGAAATGAGATGAAACGTGTTAATTAGTGAACTTTAGAGGTGCTGGTAGGCAGATTTTATTTACTTTGGAGAGAGTCTTTCTGCTAAGCTAAGTAAGCTGACTGCTGGCTGTAGCTTCATATATATGTTGAACTTCTTTCATAACCCTCATCTCACAGTAGAAGGGGATTTTGTGCATGGCAATTTACAGGATTACTGTTAAATTCTCATATTTTTAAGTCACCTGTTGCGTATTGCAGCTTCAGACAGATAAGTCTCACTCTTAACATGATGGAAAATGAATTGATGTGTACTCTGTGCCTTTGATTCGGAGTTACATCCAGACATTTCTCTGCCAGTCCCATTTCTGTCTCTACCGTTTCATACTGGATATGTTGAATATTTTCATATGATTGGGGGTGTGAATTCATCTTAAACTAACATTCTTTGTTACAGACATCACAAACACCTACCTCAGAAAAGTGTGTTATCATGTCTTACTATTGTGCTATCAACCTAAAGCAGTTCAAGATGAAGGAAGCCTAAATTGGTAGTGAAGAGGTTGTAAAGGACTTGGTTACACCTTAAATTACACCTCCCACCTCTATATATATTTTAGAATCTATACTAAGTAATACACCATAAAAAAGGAATTTAAGGTAGACACAGTGTATATTTATAGTTTAAGTTTGGTGCTGGAGTTGATGAAATAGGCGGTAAAACATTAAGACTTTGGTTCTGCATTCCGTTTTAAAATGATTCAATGAGTCATTGCAATTTAGCAACAGAGAAAAGCCCCCCTGGGGAAAGTAAAAGAGGTCTGTGCAGCCACAATGGAAACGCACAGCCACTTTTCACCATCTACTTTTCATATTTTTTCCCTCTTCCCCAGATTTCACCTCTGACAGTCTTGCCCTAGATATTTCTCCATCCCTGTCAGACACACTAGCAGGTCTCATCGGCTGCCAGCTGTGGAGGAGAGGACGTGGAGATCAGCGCAGATGAGAAGTGAAAAGGATGAAGAGAATCCAATCGATCCAAAACCTCCATCCTAATCTTGTTGACGTCCTCAGATGGTGCAGACGGCAGCCCTGAAGCAACTTTGGGGAACACATTAAATCTAAAAATTCTAATTCTCACCATTTACTTATTTATATAGTGTCGTTAGAGACGGCGCAGATTATGTGAGCACAGGTTGGTCAGACGCACATGCTCGAAACTCTACTCGCGAACTATCCGTTTATTTGTATTTCATCAGCTTTAGGTATTTAGAAACTCTTCAGGTGCATTTGATTTATCAACTCAGATCTTTAAAGGCCGCAGAAAGGTCTGACACATCTGAAATACTCTACTGCATCCTTGTGGCTGCTGCGTGAAGTGCAGCTACACATAATCACAGATGAGATTTAACTTCACATTAATGAAAAACAAAAATCACATTGTCTTAGGTTTTTAGATTTCCACTTCTGGCTTTTATTTCCAAGCACATGTACAGTTGTTTGCCGTTGATAGCTACAGAAATGTTGGCAAAAATCCACAAGTAAATCTTGATATGACTCTGTTAAAAACTGTATATAAAAAGACCCCAAAACTGTACATCAATTAACATAACTACATTTATATATTGTATATATAGATTTATGTATATACTGCATCTGAGCGTACAGCAATTTATAGATACTGGGTGGTTATGAGAAATATAGACGCTATACAGTAATACATTGTAAAAGAGAAAGATAACATTCTGTTCGAAGGCTGTCAGTTTAGGTGGTCTTGAAAGATCAGGACAGTGAGGACAAGAGTGATTGGTACCGTAAGACCTTAAATCCACCGTTAATGGCTTTGAAAGTTTCTACAGCAAAGTGTCAATCATCAGACAAGACGGATCAGTGCAGGGGTGTAACTGAGCTAACACCACAGAAATCTCTTTTCTTTGAATCTTTAAAGACACACACACACACACACACACACACACACACACACACACACACACACACACACACACACACACACACACACACACACACACACACACACACACACACACACACACACACACACACACACACACACACACACACACACACACACACACACACGATTTGTCACAACTCAGTTCGGTTGTTCAAATACTCTTCTACATAAATAAGACACACATCAAATACTGTCTCCAGGAAGTAAAAAAAAAAAAGAAGAGAAGATCTCTAACATACATACAAGAAGCACTACAGTAACTGGGGTTATTTTAATTGATTCATGTGGATTCCACAGTTTTCTGAGGTACCTGACTATCTCTTGGACAGATGATCTCTCATAGAGAAATGGACTATGGCAATAATTAGGATATTCTGATAATTCTCCAAAAGACAGAAGTCATTCAGAAAGAGGTGATTCTATTGTATCCCACAACAAAGGATGTGTGGATTACTTCGTGGGTAGAAGGAGCCCATTTCCAGTAAGTGATTCTCGATTGTGATGGAGGGATTATACATCACATTTAATTCTAATACTTATGCACAACCACATGGCTGGAGCTCTGAGGCCACATTTGTCACAATGGGTCATTTACACGCAAAGGCAATATTTCAATTTTTGTTTGATTATACTCATCAGAGCAAGGTAATCGCTGCGTTAATTCATTCTGAGCAAATTGTGGTCATACACACACACACACACACACACACACACACACACACATATACATAATTAATGGATACCGGCTCATTAAAGAGTTACGAACCATCAGCCACCTCTGACAGGACCAACGTGTCTGTCTGCACTCAGATACTGAACATTAGGTTGTAGTTTTTTTTATCTGGGGGTATTTTACTGAACAATTACTCAGACTTTTGTCTCATTACTTATAGATTCAGATGGGAAAACATGGTCAAATTACAAGATGCTGTATACTGGCACAGTTTTGGTTGAAAAAAATCTCCCTTCAAGAACCTGTATCTGTCAAAAACTCATTTGGATTCAGACATTAAGTAGGAGGTTGATTACATTCAGAGTATTAAGAACATTAAAGGGTCAGTTCACTCAAATTACAGGAAAAAAAAAACATGCAGTATTTTCTCACTCACTTAGAAGCAATGCAAACAGTTTTGGTTTTATTTTCCCAGGTTGTGAGTGTTATTATATATTATAGATATTATGTTGTTTCCATAGGGACTATTTCTCTGGGGTTTTTTTTTCTTTTGTAATTTGGGTGAAGTGACCCTTTAATGTGCAAATCAGAGAATGCACCACAGAGTCCAACAGTATAAGAACCCCTTTGCTTTACCGCTTTAATATTCTATATAAATATTGCATTAGAAAACCAGAATATTGAGAAGCGAATCAGACACATTTAAATAAATTGAAACATACGCAGAACATTAAAGACAAAATCTTACTTTGTAACATTGATCGACTGCAGTTGATCGATCAAACACAGCTGGAGCTCTTCAAGTTTTCTATCTCATTAAACATCACATCCGACTGATTTCTTTCCAGTGTGCTCTGACCACTGAGTGAGACCTTCACTCTTATTGTGGTAAAAGGGGAATTTTACACATGATATAGAAAACAGTAAAAATAACAGTTGAGAGACAGATGCCCTCCGGGACAGAATATATAAAACATTCAGAATAAAAAAACAGATATTAAACACAAGTTGTTGAATGTTTTGGTGCAAGAAGTAATTCATTTGTTCATCGATTGTGTATCAGTAGTATTTCAATGCTGTGTTTGTTCTGATTAAGTCTTCTTGGACAGTATAACCCACGGAAAACTAACATTCACCTTTTCACTTACTTATCCGTTCTCTCAGTCACTCCCCAGTTGCGCACCCATACATCCATCACCTGCAGTGCCTTCATATGATCCAAATGCCTAACATTAGCCGTAAATTTACCATGAATTAAGCAAACATAGCTTGGCAGAGACAGAGAAACTATCACAAGGCACCTAATGTAAAGCAGCTACAAGTATCTAGCAGCAACAAGGCTTTGGTTCATAGAAGTACTGTTACAAGTGGAGTACAAGACATCTTTTCTATTCTGTCTCACAATCATTTATTGATGGATGGGTGTATGGATGGGGGAATGGCCGAGAAGACGCAGAAGGGAACAGACAAGAGGATAATGATGATGACCAGACAGGTGGAGGCGGCTCAGACAGAGGTAGGAAAACTTCCAGGTCAGCATCACTTCACCAGAGGGAGAATGAGAGGAAGACAGAGGAGAGAGATAGCTAAAAAAGAAGGACAGAGAGGATAAGTGTTGAAACAGAATTCAAAGACTGCACTGCAGAGGTCTTTTTTTCTAAGGTAGAGAATCTCATTAGACTCTTCTAACACCATCTTAAGGCTTTTTAAGAGCATTAACACGGAGCTATTAGATGCTGACCTGCAAACTAAAATATCTTACAAATATATTTTGTTGACACCATTAGGAGGAAAACATCTGTGACATGAATGGGTATGCATGTCTGACACCCAAATTTCCTTTGGGCACATACAGTTCTTCCATTTGATCCATAAAAATAATTTTGTTTTCGGCAGACTTTCCTTATTTTACTGATCCATTAGGTGATGAAACAGTTTATAACTTTGAAAAACACACCGCAAGGTACAGAGCTGCTTTAGAGTGTTGGTAGCAGTGTTCTTTTTACCTACTGACAGAGCCAGAGCAAGCAGTTTCCCTGCATTCCCAATCTTTATGCTAAGCTACACTAACCTGCTTCTGGCTCCAGCTCCCTATTTATCCATGCAGACATGAGAGTGGTATCGATCTGGAGTCATCATTTCTGGTGAGACTTGAATGGACACGTAACTGTGCTCTCATCAATAAATGGCTATATGTCAAATGATTGAATCTCTTTTAAAAGTGTGTCTATTTAAGGCATCACGTAGTTTGGGGCAGATGATAGAATCTTATTGTTGTGTTGTGATTATCTCAGTAAGGACAGGTTTTGTATGTTCATCTTGAAGGTGCTCTGAGGAAAAGTGAACGCAAAAGTTAGCTAGAATAGTAGAGGAAAAATCATCAGCCGCATTGGAGCTGCATTTTTCTACCATCCTATTAACGACACATTCATTTTTTATTTTCATATTCTTTCCAGTGTCCACTTTCATTTAAACTGTTTTACAGAACTATGAGTGTGTACATTGACACACTGCACTACAGTATATCTATCAGCTGTTAAAAGGACGCCATATTGTCTTTCTGTTTCTTTGGTAAATGGTCTCTGTGGAGGATAATGTGATATACAAGGTGACATTAAGGCATTAAGAAATAGCAAGGCAGTCATCACATAGCTATTTCTACTGGATTCTATCACTAAAACATGCCATACAAACTGATCAGTCTGTATATGGCATTGTGGATAAATATAACATGAACAGTTAAAGTGCTTTAAAAGACAAAAAGACAAAAGGAGATCCTGCAGAGATGAATACAACGTACACACAATAACACAATGCTAGCTATCAGCACACACACATCTATCCCACCAAACAATACATTACCTAGAAAGCTTAAAAGGTTCCATATGTAAGAGTCTAAAGCATTTCATGTTCTCATAGCCATAGTTCGTGCCTACAAGTCTGTACGGAGTGCCTGCACCAGCAATAGGACACTGCAGTTCACTTAACAGCCACTGGTGTCACTGTTGACAACAGTTTTCTGAAAGTTACATATAGAACCTTTAAGTGTTGAATGTGGAGCTAAAGTTGGTCTCTTTTCTTTTAGACTTAATATACAGTGACTAATTAAACAAGAAAAAAAGACCATCTGAGATCCACTTGTCCAACACTTCACTGCTCTACTACACCCCTCCTTACAATGTTGTTGGATCTGACCCCAGAGTCCTAGGGAGTGTTTCGAGATAATAGGTTTGCACACAGGCAACACCAGTTAGTCCTAAAGAGAGGCGGAACAAACAGACAGACAGACAGAAAAGAAAGAAAGAGGGATGGTAGGAATGAAGAAAAAGAACATGCTTGGTCAGAGAAAGCTCGAGCTGGCTTAAGTACTGTTACTGTCTTCATCATCATCATCAACATAATCAGCAGCAGCATCACACAACACATCCTGATTATCGCCATTTTTTAAAAAGTCATATAAATCCTATGAACTGGAGTGACGAACACTTCAGCTGCCAGCTACCAAAGCAGGCAGACATAAAGGGCCAGTGCACATACTTTCAGTGTGACACAATATGGTTTAAGAAATCAAAGAGTCTGTTTGTTGTGACATCAATACACTGAGCCCTTTGCACGTTGTAGCGGCGAGCGAGGCCCTGTGGGTGGAGTCCTTTTCCAGAGCCCTCCCATAGTGCTTTGTGCCATACTTGGCTGCTGACTTGGGAACAGTGGTGAAGGTCACTTTCGTTGTAATCCCTTCCAGATGGATTACAGATATCAAACATTATTTGACTCCCAGCTCAGTAACATAAATAAAGGAGTTTAAGTTACTTTTGTGTAACTTTGCAGCTCTGCTAGCAGTGACCTCGTCAGCTCCGCAAAACATTAGAATTACTGCTCCGTTCAGTTCAACTCCAAGTTGTATCTAATATTAGAATATAAGAACAGGAACCGGACAGAAATAAATTAGACCGAGGTCTCTGGCCCCGCCCCACTGTAGGCGTGTCCCTGCTTTGAGTGGCGGGAGCCATCGGCAAATCGGAGGAGGGGGGTGAAGGTGCAGTAGTCTGGTGTACTTTGCCAGCGTGTGAACATGATTTTCTTGCTAAAGGGTTCAGACCTTCGAGGGTTCGGAGCGTTCCTTTGGGTGCCCGAGCCTCGCCGGTGGCTGCCGGCCTTTGATGGGGCGTGGAGAGACGCCAGGGGGGTGAACTCGGACAGCTGGCCCTTGTAGAGTTTATCAGCGTTCTGTATGTGTGTAAGGAGGGAGGAGGAAAGGGAGAAAGGGAGAGTAAAAACAGAGAAGGAGACTGTTACTGTACTGTAGAGGGATCTCAGAGGACAGGTGGAGGAGACATTGTTATTGCAGCTGGCCAGAATTCTAACTGACTGAAGCTACAGTAACATTAATAACACACTGGAGGCAGGAAGTGTGATTTATTGGTACCAATAAATGATAAAAGGTTGATGATTTCGATGTAATTTGTTGGTTTTGAAGGCAGACTGATCACTTAATACCTCTGATTGACTTTATGTTTAAGTTTGTGTTTAAGATAATGTCTGCTCCTTGATTTACTCAACCTGATAATAATAGCTAATAGCTGCTTATAACTACAGGAGCAGCTGCAGTTTTTTCAGATGCAGATGTTTTGGAATAGAGATTAGAGCAGTGGTTCTCAAGCTGGGGCCCGTGGATGCCCACAAGTCCTTGAGGGGGTTTCAGCCATCAAATACGGGTCCAGTCTCAGGGAGTTTGATCAGATTGAGTTCCCCCCTAAGATGATGTGTATCAATTTGGGGGTCCTTGACACTAAACAGATTGAGAACCACCGGAGCTTCAACTAAAGGGAGGTTATGGCTGAATGAACCTGTAACCTGAACCTGGACACAATTCTGCCTTACCAGACAATCCAATTGTTTACATTATCTAATTAATAAAGTATTGCATTGCTTTTAATCTAATTGGCCAGCTGTGACGATAATGTCCCGTCCACTTTGTCCAGACAGAAGCGATGCAACCCAAGCAAATAAACGGCATAAAGAAAATATGTAGATAAATACATAACACCATACAACACCATAAAATTAACCAAAACCATGCAAACAGACACATGACCAATAAACATGCATGGATGTTCAACAGTCCCACTGTGAGTGAACTTTGGCTCTGCAGCAATGCTGAAAGGTGTCAGTAGAGGGCGCCAGAGCTCCATGTAAAGAATCCCCCAACAGGCTGAGAGGGTTTTATACAATACCTGGACAATGTTTGGATCATCCAACTTCTAAAACCCTCAAACACACACACACACAAACAATATATAACCCATGTGTTAGTCAGGTACAACTCTCAAAAGTCCAATCTGTGAAACCACACACCACGGCAAAGTAAAGCCCGTCGCAGCTGGATGTTAACGTCACCCACCATTACCCAGTCCAACCATTACATACACACACACGGTGGCAGGGTGTGTGTTTTACCGTGATGAAGCCCTCTAGGTTTCTGTGTCAGCTACTCCATCTAGTAAGGAGTCAGAAGAACTCCGGTAGGCCAGGGCCCTCTCAAACTCTTTATTTTCCCTCACACGCTGTGGACACACGCCAACACACACACACCCCCACACACACACACACACACACACACACACACACACACACACACACACACACACACACACACACACACACACACACACACACACACACACACACACACACACACACAATCAGAGACAAACACATTAAGGGTCTACCACATACACGTAAAAATACACACAGTCTAACCTCAGTGTAACAAAAGAAAACTGATCACACACGCAGCATTTACACTGCAGGCAGCCTGTGTAAATCCAGATGGCATGCAATCAGACTGTTCGACAAAAAACAGTTACTTCATGCAAAACAGTGGTAGGGAGAGAGTAACGGGAAACACAAAAGGGAAAAAAACAGAGAAAGAGGAATTCTATACTAGTTGACAGGAGGAAAGGCAGGGGGTCACCTCTAGGAGGGCTGGGTTAGAAACTGATTCTGCTGGAAGTCTGAGACAGCATAAAGATGGTGGAGGGCTCGGAGGCAAGGCACCGACGCTTAGTCTGCCACAGAGGAGAAGACGGGAGGAGAAGAAGGGACGAGAAGAGGAGGAGGAAGGAAGAGCCAGGAGGTCAGAGGGAGGAGTGAACAGGGAGAGGGAAGAGTAAAGGTTTGACAATCAATCAGATCATTCAAAATGGTCCAATTGAGCGACGGATATCGGAAGAGAAAGGTTCACATTTACAGACAGGAGAAGATAAAGTGTGTCTCTGAGGGTCCGAAATATCAGACAGGTTTCAGGAAGTTGGTTATTAGCTCATCACAACCACAGTTCTGAGGAAGGTTAAGGGAGAGGAGCAGTTTAGGACATAAATGAAGAAATATAGAAGACCTCACTGTAAACAGTTTGAAAACAAACAACATTTAACAGGCTGCTACATATAATTGTCCACACTGACTCAACTGGTCGAGACAGACGACCACCCACCTAGAGCCGGAGGATCTGTCCTAGGTTTCTGCCTTTTAACAGGCAGTTTTTCCTTGCCCTTGTCGGCAAGTGCTTGCTCATGGTGGTACTGTTGGGTCTCTGTAATTAATGTTAAAGAGTTCGGTCTAGACCTGCTCTATTTGAAAAGTGTCCTGAGATAACTTCTGTTATGAATTGGCGCTATACAAATAAAATTGAATTGAAATTGAATTGAACTGACTGATGATCTCAGTGAAACCATGAGAGACTGGTGTAACGACAGCAGCTACATCCAACCATCAGATACAGTGTAATAATACAGGCTTGGTGGAAAGTCCCTAGCTCTCCATGTACTGCACCTGCACCTAAAATAGCTCACATGTGACTAGATTCCAGAGCCTGGGATGGTAAACATTTATTCACGATTTATGTTTTGTTGACTACTGAATCCTACAGCATTTCTAACGACTGCCTTTTGTTATTTCACTGTGAAGACATCAGATCATTCTGCAGCCAATATTAGTTGATTCCTGATCAAATGTAGCTGTAACAACAGGTGCTAAAATCTAATTTTTCACTTGGACATCTCATGTACTGAACTGAATAGAACGATCTTAAATGAACATTTAGTTTTTATGATCTGTTTAACTGCTAACAATTACTATTATGTCGTTACTAACAAAACATACTGTTCATAGCAGAACACCCGCTCTAAGCACAGTGAAGAGGAGTGTAGAGGAGAGAAATATCAGCTATGATTGCTGCATTGTCAACCCTATATTAATAAAATATCTTGAGTGGTAGTTGCTAAAAATACATTCCATATCTCTATTGTAACTTCTTCTGATTTAGAAATAAAGAAGCACTGCACACAGACAGAACGAGGCTTACTGACTTACATCCAGCAGAGCGGGGACGTAGCCAAAGCCAGAATACATCTGCTGACCCACAGTCATCAGTTAGACACACTGAATTATCACAGTTAATGTACAGCTTTATATGTTTATCTGTAAAGCTGTAAACAGATACTCATAATGATTTAGATCCCTTTCAGTTTAGCAAATGTTACTCAAAATCCTCTCAACCGTGGTCTTTTTAGAATACAGTTACAGTGCAAGTACAATTATTACAAAATAATTTCATTATTAGGAAAAATTCTCCACTTTAATACAATCATAGATACAAGTCTTAGTTATTTCCCAGTTGGTTGGTGGTAAGTACATACTCAGCGGTATGTATGTGTATGCACTCACCTGTATGCGTTCAGTAGTTGTGGGCCACATCGCCCTACAGATAACCTTCTTCACCACATCTGGCAGCAGACTGGCTGTTATCAGAAGGATTATGCTGAGCCAGGCCGGACCACTGGACAACATCTGCATGAACACATAGTACATCCTCTGGTAGTTGAGGAAGGGCCTGGAGGAGAGGAGAGAAAATATTTATTTTATTAAGTTTTTAGGTTTTACATTAAAATCTTGCCTACAGCAACTCAAAACATTATCTGAGCACATTATAAACAGAAATGTAAAAATCATCTTTTTTTCAGAGCTTACCAGATGATTCCACCCCACAGCAGAGAGAAGACCACAAAGAAAATCAGCGAGCCCCAGATGACGAAATGGTTGATCCAAGTCCAATAATGAGTATCTAGAGCCAACTACAGGGGAAGGTTGAGAGATGAGAGGAGAGACCTGTCAACCTGTCAAATTTCATAGCTCACTTTAATGATAGCTTAATACAGCCTCGCTCAGGTGGCTATGTGTGTGTGTGTGTGTGTGTGTACCTTGAATGTAACAGTGAAGACAAGCACAGTGAAGACCAGCGTCCCAAATGTCCAGTTTCCAAACATCTGCAGGGGCAAAGTGACAACAGATGCCGTTAGTGACACATTACAAATTACAAAGATTTATGTCCAGTAAAAAGTATTTTTTTTTGCAGCTTTTACAATGTCACATAACCAGATGGAAATGTGACAGATTCTAAGCAAATGTGTAATTGAATATCTGTGTCATAAAACTGTGTTTAAATGCTTAAACACCTTCTATACACCTGACAATAATCTGTTACATTTCAAGAGTGAATGCACTCATTTGAGATCATTATAGAGGCCTGGTGTTAATGATACACAGAGATAAACTGAAGTGCAAATTCAATAAGGAATCAATCAATCCAACAGATGGCAGGGTGCTCAGACAGCAACATCCAGGTGAAGAATAGATTAGCAGATGGCTGATGGATGGGAATCGGGTGAGGTGACCAGAAGAAGTGATGTGCATTTCAACCTGTCAGGAAAACATTTTAAATGCACTACATGTGCGGTATATGAACAAAAAAATAGCAATTAGTCATATATCAAATATGAAACTTAAAGGGATAGTTCACCCCAAAATCAAAAATACATATTTTTCCACTTACCCATAGGGCCATTTATCCATCTAGATTGTTTTGGTGTGAGTTGTTGAGTTTTGGACATATTCTCAAAGAAACTAGTAACAAGAAACTGTCTGTGGATTATCTCGAGTACTTTCTGGTTTCATTATATTGAAGAGAAGGCAGACATCTCAAACTCTGCAACTCACACTAAAACAATCTAATAGATAAACAGCGCAACAAGTGAGGGGAAAATTATATATTTTTGATTTGGGGGTAAATTGTCTCTTTAAAGAATGCTAACATGAAACAGGGCAGTCTCTCTACTGCAGCTCACAGTGACCGTCATTAGGCAAGATTTCGGAAAATGGTTTAAAGGCGCCCTGGTCTTTGTGACTGAAGGCTACAGGGTTTATGGTAAATGTGGTCTTTAATTAACTCTAATCATTAATAACATTACTTCAGAATGCTACTGACATAAGACAGATCATACTGCTAGAAATCACCTTGGTATAATTACCAAGTTGTCATATTAATAGTTGATTATTTGCCAAAATCAAACCCAATAACCCCAATTTAAAGTCATAACTTTAATGCCATTTGGACTTTCGCCCTGGTTCAACTTTGCACTTGCTACTAACATGCAAGAATCATTATAATAAATTTCAAACATTTCTATTTTTAAACGTGGTAAATCCAACGGAAAGACTGATATATGAATAGATTAAGTGAATAAGAACATAAAGAAAAGCATAAAAAGATAAGAAAATTAAGCTTTTCAGAAGATCACCTAAATATATGGTGGTTGTTACGTTGATGTAATCGGGGCATATGAAATGATGCGTCATATGAGACATCGTTTTTTAAGCCCAGACTGTGGTCTTTTGGTCAGCGTTATCAGCTATCCCAAATGCCAAGACAAAGTCAACGGCCTCAAAATGTTTGATTTAATACAATTAAATTGTTTACACAGCCGGTCTGGCCTCTAAACTGTTAAACTGTTAAATGTTCTAGTCGGCTGATTGGTGAGTCACAGCTTAACCCAGAATCCCTGTACAGCAGACAGTTACAGCGGATAACCAGCTCGATCTTAAATGTTGACTCGCACCCTTTGCACAGTGAATTTCAGCTACTTCCTCCTGGACGGTGGTTTCTAGTTCCAAGATGTAGAACAAAGCGCTATAAAAATAGTTTTGTTCCAGCAGCGATCAGTCAGATCAACAGGTTATAATATGGCACAGAGTTATTATTATTATTTTTTAATCTATTTTGTACCCATTTTAATCTAAGTGGTTATTTATTTTAATGTTTTTCTTCTCTAATGGCCGCTGTTTATTCATGTACGTCAGTGAATTAAAGTCGTTAAATATTGGAACAGTGGAAAGACAAAACAAAGACCTTTTTTTTAAGTTTTATTATATTCCTGTCCACTTGTTTTGTTTGTACATCTATGAATGAATAGTGGCACTGGATGGCAATGGAGTTTGGCCCATCTAACAGGACGTTTCCAAAAAATTGTCACACCCAGTGTCTCTAATGTATAATCTACTATAATTAGCATTCATTCTAAATCACTTCGCAGCACATCTTTTACAATACTAACCTGTTATTGAAAGACTGTTTTTATTGTTCTGGTGTTTTTCTATGCAGCTGTCTACATACGCAGATGCACTTCATTCACATTTTACTTTCTATACACATAGAAAAAGCTTCAGATTTGCTTTGTTAAACTCAAACATCACTAACAACTTCTTTGCATGCCATTTAGACTCCAGTTATTTCTTCACAAATAAGCCTATAAATAGTCCTAATGGTTCAGAGAGTGGCCGCAAATGTGACAATGTTCTTCTGCTCTAAAAGGAGCACCATCAACTGAAGGAGAATTAGATTAGAAAGATGGCTAAATGACTCAAATGTCAGTAAATGGAAGTAGTAGTGCGACTCAGTTTCTATATATCCGTTTTTACCCTGCTTTTAACTGAAGAAGATGTAACACACACAATGCTTACACACAATAGTTAAGGATTGTGATCACTATAGGAGCATGGTTTAAGCAAAAGGCAGGTCACTACACAAAAGTCTACAGTTGATGTGTCTACAGCAAGCACTAAGGGCTGGACATGAGATGAACGGATGACGGGTGATTTGGTGGCATCAGGCTGCGTGATGGGACGAAACAGGAAGTTGGAAACCGAAACTAGGGCGAGATGACAGAGAGACAGGGACAGGCTTACCATCTGTGTGTTGGTTGTCATTAGCTGGGAGGAGAGAAGAGAAGCAAAAAGAAAAAGCAACACAAAGGTAAGAGGAGAGGAAGAAGAAGAGGAGAAGGCCAGAAGAAGAAAATCATAAAAAAATAAACAACAGTATTGTGGCTGGAGAAGAATAAAAATTCAATGCATAAAAAAAAAAGTGAAATCAAGCAACCCAACGCAGTCCAAAAGGTTTCTAGGAGAGTAACGCTGCTTGAAAATGAAAGGAAACAAATAGAGAAATACAGAGGAAGATGGTGGAAACCCCGCCATGCTGTCGTGGCTTGGATGTGAATGGGAGAACGTCTATCAGCTTTTAAAGTACACACGTTATGCACTCCACCAAAATGTAGTTTCGTTTTTTTTTTTTACAAATGCATATGAAGGTTATTCTGTCGATTGAGGGGCTGGACATTTTAACGTCATGTGTTGCACATTTGTTGTGAAAATAAACTCCTGGCGTCTTTCTCTCTCTAAATTTGATTTACCAACCAACAAGTAAGAACACCTTCAGTTTTGAGTTACAAAAAAACTAAAAAAGGAAAAAAAAAGTCTGTCTCAGATGTTTCATATTAAGAAATCCACTATCGAAACTACACTGAGTCCATCAATTAAAGCTTATTCCCCACCTTTTTTATTACCCAGGTTCAATGTGAATTAACTGTAGCTAGGTTTTAAGCCACAAAGAAAAAATATTCTTGGTTAATGATCATTAATGCACTTCAAACATCCCAAAAAGACAAATGAAAGCAGGAAATTTCAGATGCTTTTCACAGAGAACAGCATCATGATAGGCATGAGCCGAGAATGTAGAAACTGACAGATTATAACAGGAAATCAAAAACAAAATGCGGTCTATCGAAGTATGCCGCTGGCAGTTTAATCTAGATCTAAATGTCCAACATCCATGGGTTTCTGTTATTACTGTATATGTTCTACTTTACCATTTTAAATAGCCTGGAAGCTGGAAATAGCCTCATTAAGCAGACTGGATATTTGTTGTCCATAAAAAATAAAATAAAAAGGGGGCTGTCATAGAAACATGGACGTTACCTGTCCGTTGCTGGTGAAGGTGGTGTTGTCAAACAGGAAGTAAGCACCGAAGAACATCACAATGGCGTCGTACACGCCTAGGACAGTCCAATATATGAAGATGGGCCACCGTAGTAAAGAGTTCTTAGCGATGTCTCTGTAAAGACAGATACAAAATCATAGTAAACAGTAGTAATGACTCATGCTGACCACCTCCCTTTTGACTGATTACACATTTACTGATCAATACTACATTAGCTGCCCTTGGGAGGACCTTAACCAGAAATGATCGTAATGAGATATTTTAATTTGATTTAGCATAACATTCATATGGAATAATACATGAATACAACACTGATATAGATGTCTTATGAACACCAAAATACTACATAATCTGAGACTCATTGTTTGTGACAAAAGATGATATATGCAGTGTGATACATTACCCACAATACAGCAGAATCCCCATTGATTGAAATCAACTCATTTGGGCTCTAAAAAGCCTTTCAGTGATAAGGTAGGAGTTGTAAGCACTTTTTGGCAAGTGGAAAACTGCCTTTTATGGGTTGTATTGGCCCTTTGAAGTTATTTCAACAGGTAAATAACTTCAAAGTAAGTGGGTGAGCAATAATCTTTTAAATATAATCAAATCATTTTGACCATTCGTACCTACAATTACACTAGCACTAATTCATCGGCCTGAGAAACAAGACCACACACAGACACACACACACACACACACACACACACACAGACACACACACACACACACACACACACACACACACACACACACACACACACACACACACACACACACACACACACACACACACACACACACACCTCTGACCAAACTGAACCCAAATCAAACCAAGTTAAAGTGTGAGGTTTCTGCCGTCCGAGGCCTGACCTCAGTGTGCTGAGAAAACGTCTCCTTTGCATGGACATAAAATCAATAGAAAATGTTTATGCTTGCAGTTTGTTAGAACTGATTTAATGTAGCCCTTTGCTTTTGAAAAAACTAAATCTTCTGCTATTACTGCTAAAGAAGTCAATAGAGGGTATCATAACTGAGAATGTCTGAAATTGATCAAATAATTTACAAAAGCAGCAGCTATCAGTTGTGATCTTGTATTGGCATATTGTTAGATATCGGCACTGACCTATAGAGAGACGGGTCCTTCTTCAGAATGTCCATGTTAATGTGCTGCTCGATTAGGCTGTAGAGCAGGATGGGCAGCGAGGTGAAGCTGATGTTGTACAGAGTCAAGTAGGCTGTATCATACAGCGGCTGGGGAGAAGGGAGCATTTGAGTTATTTTCTTTGTCTTATTCCTTGTGATTGTTGGTTTTTTTTTCTCCTTCATGCATGCACTCACGGGTTTGTTTGTGTGCATGTACTGACCTGTTGTGAGAAGCCACAGAAGAACTGGTAGAGGAACTGGGGGAAGATGAAACAGACATTCTGGGAGAGGAAAAGAAGAGCGGGTCAGTGGTCGTAGAAGTGATTCAAAGTTTGTTTGTCTGTTGCAAATTCTTGCTCAGATTAAAAACTATAACTAAAGAGATGTGACAGTTTAGAGTTTATGTTCTTAGTGACAGTGACTGTATTTAAAAATACTAGAACATAAATAAATGTTCAGTAACAAAACTGTAACCAAGTCTTCAAACCCATAATACAAATTAGATTACAAAAAAGAATACAGCGTTCATTAAACGAGCAGACAGACTACCTTGTAGAAGAAGTATTGCACGAGTTCAGAGATGCGTATGTAGTAATAGTGTCCGTGGACAAGCAGCATCTTCTTGAGGTGTTTGAACTTTGGGATGGCGTAGTCACTATTCCTCACCGCCTGACGACCCTCCTTACCCATGATACCTGCAGTTAAAATCACATCATACTGTGCTTACATACATACTGTAACACTGATAGCCAGAGACAATATAAATATTTAACAGGCAATTGTACACCTTTGTTGAGTGGTAGACTTGGTCTAAGCTTTCCTAAATGTATTAAATGAAAAAAGATTAGTGGCCCCTTTTATCTATTATGCCCCAATTTTAGGACAATGCAGTAAAACAATAATCCTAAACATACAAATGAGACAATCAAGTGGTTTTTATAGTCAAAATTAATGTTCTTGATTGGTCTGGTCTGTCACATGACTGCAGTCAAACTCCAGTTATCTCTTAAACATAGGGGATTGTGTATAAAAAGCTCAGAAATTCTGTCACTGTACATCTGATGTGGATGTAATTAAAGACTAAAGAATAAAGTTGTGGAAGGTGTTCATGAGTTCATGTTTCAGGTAGATGTAGCATGCAGTGCAGTATTGGACAAAACTTGCTAACCGATGCCAACGTGGGCCTCTAGGATCATGCTGACATCATTAGCTCCGTCTCCAACAGCCAGCGTGATCGGGTGCTCCTCGGAGGTTTTGATCAGCTTCACAATCTAGAAGTACAAAAACAGTCAATGACTGCTTCAAGGCTACTCATTCTGATCGGTTTCTTACAGACCCTGCTCTACTGTGAGTCAGAAGACAATACAGGTGCTGTCCATGGTCTTTGTACCTGTGCTTTTTGGAGCGGCGCCATTCGACAACAGAGCACGGCGCTGCAGTTGCGGCAGATTTCTAGGAAGATCTCTTTGTAGTTCCCTGAGTTTGAGTCCTCCTGGGTGGGCCTCATCACCGCGGAGAGGGTGGCTCCATCGATGATCAAACCGTAGTCAGTACAGTCACCTGAAAAACTGGACAAACAGAAGAAAAAACAGTCTGTACAGCAACTGCTTGATGGTACTCAATGAAACACAAAGCCAAACGGGACCGCTTCACTGGATTCCATTCAGCTACAACAATACACTTTCTTCTATTGTTGTCTTATTGCCACAGAAATAGAACCGCCTCTCACAAAAAACACACACACACCCAGAGAAAGTGTCCCTGGTCATGTTTCCGTGCTGCCTCAGGACGGTCCTGCTCAGGTCAAACAGGACATCGTGAAGACTCTGCTCCTCTGTGCGTTTGGTGGTCAGCTCTAGGATCTGGGTGTTGCGGTGAAACAGCTTGCTGGCATAGCACGTCGCGGCCGCCGTCTCCATCTTATCGCCAGTCAGCACCCACACCTTCATACCTGCCTTGTGGAGAGACTCGATGGTGTCTGCCGCTTTTTCCTGGAGCCTGTAGTGATGGAAAGTAGACAGCACAGACGAAGAAAGAGAGACATTTTGGTGGTCTGTAAATATTTATTGGGGGAGAAAATAGCCCAGCACCAATAGAGCCGTGCAGTCTTACAAAGCTTGCATCATTTTCACTCTGCCTCTTTCTGCACAGGATGAGTTCACTTGTAATGCCCTCTGGGTTAACAATCCCTTTTAAGCCTGCACTATAATTGCTTTAGTAGCGAGTGTGCGATTGGAGGGTTGAACTGCCTCTTGCCCTCACTCAGCGTGGCTCACTCAGAAGTGGGGCAGCACTTGTCATGACAGCAGCACGCACAGAATCAAGAGTTAGTGCTTAGGGGTTGTTTGAAATGACATTTAGACTCTCAGATCTAAACTGTGCAAGCATGAAACCAAAATGATTATAATAGAGCAAAAGACTGGAGTTCTATATAGTTAGCAGCAAAGAGATCCTCCACCTGTCCTCCACAGCAGTGGCTCCCAGCAGGATCAGGTCTTTCTCGATGATGTCGTAAGCCTCGGCCAGCCGTTTGTCTCGGTCTTGTAGAGCCAATTTGGCCCCGTTCAGCAGGTGGCAAACCTCCTGGTACTGTTCAGGAGTCAGAGGCCGATAGGCAACACAAAGTGTCCTCAGACCCTCCTGGAGGAGAGGAGAGATTCAAACATTCAGAGTTAGAAGCATCAATAGAGAAGCAAACAAACAGCAAAATACTGATATTTGCTTGACTCAGAGCCTTGAATATGAGTGTTGTGTGGGCAGGCACTGCTCTTTCCATTTGAACCTCGCCAGTACAACACCCACGGTAGATCTTTCTGTTTGCAGCTGCAAGCACGAGATGTTACGTCTTACTGGCCTGGTTTTCACTGCAGGTTCATTTCACTTTTTTTAGGTCAACTTTCGAACTAGAAACCTCAACCTCAAACAATCAACATGTGACATTCAGTTCTGCATTTTGGGAACTATTTGGTGATTTATTTATGTGCATTTCTTCTACCTCAGTTGGTTATTTCCTACAATTCCCAGAGGAACCTTTGACATACAAATCAAAAGTCTAATGCCACTGATCAATCCGTGCTTGAGGGTGGATTCTTTCTTTAGCGTAGGTTGTTCTTTCATAAAAGTTGTTTTGATTGTGTGTTCTACAGCCTGCAGGACGGCAGAGGAGATTATGAAATACATGTTAATTAACTGCAATGTCTAACAGCTGACGGGGAAAACTAGCAGGGCAATTTGGGTCTGTTAGAAGTCACACTGGACCCTCTATGGAAAAATACAGAACAAATGTTTGATGGAAGTGGGCCATGCTCCACTGATCGACTTCCTGTGGTAACCATGGAAACGGCTGTGGCCATGTGCTGTAACTGTGGAAACCACTGTCACACAACCTTTAAAACTCTCACAGGGTGAATCATGGGGATAATGTTGTGAGAGAAAATACTTCCTGTAATTTTAGGAATCTTTAGTATGAGAAAGATTTCAGGTGTGTGTGTGTGTGTGTGTGTTCTCACCACTGCGTTGTGTTCCACTCGAGCTTTGACCTGATCCACTTTGCCTGATATAATCCTGGGGAAGATTGAGGAATCTGCACCTTTACAGAACAAATACAGCTCACCTGCTCACCCACACGCACACACACACGCACGCACGCACACGCACGCACGCGCACACGCACACACACACACACACACGCACACACACACGCACACACACACGCACGCACACACACACGCACACACACACGCACACACACCGCACACGCGAAAGAGGGGTTAAGTGGTGAAGGGAGAAACCACATAAACCCAACCATTTACATACATATTAACAGTCTGAAGTATATTACCAGTGCTGGCCCTGACAATGACGCTCATCCTTCGTCTGACTGAGTCGAATGTCAAAACCTCCAGCAGCTCAAACCTGATGAAATAAAACACATAAACAAAACATAGTACAGTTCAGTAAACAAAGAATTTGATTTTGTTTGGCTTTATTTTAGTCGATACTGATCCATTAAAATATACCCGGATTGGCCCCAGTACTGATCCTAAGGATCAGTTTGGGACATCTCTGATGAAAATCATGAAAATTATATAAACCTTTCAAAATCCTCCTTAATGATGATCATCAGTTTTCAGCCAACAACAATCACGGCTCTAAATTTATACTCATAGCCAGAGGGCTGCTGGTGTTACTTCCACTCACTGCAGTACTGACCTAATATTACAGTAATACAAATGCCTTACTCTACTTACAGCTCTTAAGTTGCTAACAAAACTTCACAAATGACCAAAATTAATGATCTAATCAGGTGTGTTAAATGTATGTCATCTCTCACATCAAAACAATAACAAAAGATGTGGTTTCATGAGCAGTGTTGGATCATGGGAGTTGTTGTCTTCATTGTTAAACAACCACCACTGCATGACTGACATGACTAGGCAAGATAATATAAAAGTTTTATTCATGTTACATTTAGTCCTGTTTTATGACTTCCTTCCTCACTCTCTGCTGTGTTAACTGGAAGTTCTAGCAGTAGAGGTAATTTAGAGACGCACCATTATCTGAATAAAATTACAGATTTATCTGGGTTTGATCATTGTTGGAAACATTTAGGATAATGGACACAACTCAACAAAATATATAACATAGGTCAAGTGTTTATAGACATTTTCATATGGAAATGTAACACAATAAGACATTTAATGAAAATAAAATCCATAAAAATAATGTGTACTATATCTACTATAAATGCAAAGCTGATGAGAGAATTGTTGCAGAGGGTTTAAGAGATAAACACTGTTTTAAAGGGACACGCTCACCTCTCAATCTCATCCTCTCTATTCAAGATCTCCATGTGACTGTCCTTGAGTCTCAGATAGGTGAAACCGAGCCTGCAGCAGAGCAAAGCACCATTGTTGGAAATAGAGTGAATGAACTGAATGTGAGTGGAAAACAAAGGCATGTGTGTGCTGTATTCAACAGTCTGATTGTCACAGGCATTATTCGCGTGCGCGTGCGTGTGTGTGTGTGTTTTCACTGCTCTACCTCTTCATGCCTTCCACCAGTGCCACCTCGTCTGGAGATGAGGAGATGTAGAAGGAAGTGGACTTGCCCTGGTGGATGCCATGCTTGATCCCATCGACCGTCTCCTCCTCCTTCACCTGCACCGTGTGGCACAAACACAGCGCCCGGAAAAACAGCTCCTCGTGCACCTGTGGTGGGTGGCCAACAAAGTGTTACACTAACGCACGAACACCCACACACACACACTCAAACTGAGGCTATGCTCACCCTGGCCTCAGGACCCGGTGATGTGTCAATCATGTCCATACCGGCTGCACCAGGCATCAACTAACAAACACAAATTAAATACATTTTAATATGATCATATTAACATAAACAGACAATATGTGGAGTTCTAAAATAATACAATCGCAACTATATATTAAATCCCAGCTTAAGGTCAGAAATAAAGATATAAAAGATAACAAACATCCATCCATCAGGTTCGTACCTGTCCGTTACAGATAGCATGAGGCACATAAACGTGTCCGTCCACACAGCACTCTATGAACTCCATGTTATTCTCTGTCAGAGTCCCCGTCTTGTCAGTAAACACATACTCCACCTGAAAAGAGAGTACGTGTTACCTCAGAATATGTGTGTTTGTGGACACGACGCTATTTATTTCTGATCTAATTTATTGAAAACTTGTATTCTAAGTGTTCCGAGTCCATTCATAGCAGCCACAGTATTTTCATCTCTAAAAGACTTCTCTGTATGGTACAGTAACATTAGTGGTGTTCTCTGCTACCTGTCCCAGCTCCTCGTTCAGGTCCGATGTGTTGACCACGGCTCTCTCTCCCAGCTCCTCGTCAAAAATCTCATCATCCCACATGATGAAATAAGAGCCGAGGAACTTCTGCATCTCCACGGTGACGTACATGGAGACAGGAATGATGTAGTTGAAAAGAACCATGAAGGCCAAGAAGTCTGTGAACGCCCTGATCACCTGAGGAAGAGGAGGAGGAAGGAGTGTATGAGAAGGTGAAGAAACCTTTTTTTTTTTCCAGATTGAGGTACTGTAATTAACAGACTCACAATGTGTCTCTGTCTCTCTGTTTCTGTCCTGTCGTTGTACCAGGGCTCGTCTCTGTTGGGGTCTGCCTGCCACACGTATTTCAGCGCCGTGTTGATGAGGGCCTTGCTGATGAGGATGCACAGGTAGACCACCAGGTACGAATTCATTGACCTGCAGGGGGAGATAACGAGAAACATTTTATGTAGCAGTGTCAGTGTGGACTGTGGTAGTCTGGGAATAACTGAATAAAACTGATTCATGTGTGAACATATATTGTTTAATTTAAAAAATTCCATACTATTCCATATCAACTTTCCCTCTAACAATAGCACAAATTCTCACTAGTGCTTGTGAAAACTAAATGAACAAATCTTTGTTATTGATACTTCTCAGAGTTGTATGATGTGCCAGGTCTGCACCGATACATACAAACTTTGAGTGGGAAATAAGCCGTAAGGAACATCCCTAATTCTGTCGCTGCCATTCAGAGCTACTGCAAACCCTAATTGCTACAGTTTTAGTAAATAAAGCTAAACACACAATAATTTCAGAAGTCATCAGCTTAATGCAGCTCACAAGTACATATTTTGGAAGGACAATGCAGCATAAATTCATTTAACTTAATTTCTAGCATCCCATATCCCTGTTTGTGGCCTAAAAGCTGCAGAACACCTATATGATTTTGGATTGAGAGAGTAAAAATGCATAAAGGTGCAAATTAACCCACGATGCAAGGAAGGTGCAATCATCCAAACTAACTCTGGAGGCTGCCTGACAAACATTTGACTACAGTAATGCAAAAAAGAGAGTAGATTAGATACTTGCACAAAGGGAACAGCTGAGACGAGGCATTTACTCTAAGCCAAATTTGTTTTGGCAAAAGGAAGACAAATACATTTCCAACAAGTTAAGCAGGCACGCACTGTTACCAAGTGTAAATGTAATCCACCTACAGTCAGTCATATCTACAGGCCATCTGGATTCAAGACGCATGTCAACGCCAGATGGAAAGAAATCGATCCAGTCAGTGCAGTGAGCCAGAGACACAAGGACTCTCAGTCAGTGAATAATGAAGAAACACATAGATACATGGGTAAAAATATGAATGATTATCTAAGCCAGCGTTGGCTGAGAATGGATGCTGCCAAAGACTGTAAAGCATACGTAGGGATGTCCATGCTAACAGAGAGAGAGACAGCTTACTTTTCCACTGCAGACCGTTTCTGAGACTTGGACTGGTAGTTGAGGGCCATCTTGGTTTCCATGCCAGTGTAGATGGCAACCGCTGAAGGGAGGCAGAGATACATTTTGAATATTTTTGACCAGTAGGTTGACAAAACATAAATCAATTTATAAGCTTTTTCCAGAGCTTTCGATCACATCTCTTGGTCTTCAGAGTTTGCTCAGTCATCATGGAGACACATGCAACCTTATACACCATATATATGAACAGTTGTTACCATGTGACCATGTGACCATGTGATTAATCATTAATCAGAAATGAATAGTTTAAAAATAGTTTTTTTTCTAGCATATTATTGTGTTTCAGGTGATTTTACCATAGATGAACTCTGTGTTCTTGAGTGTGGCTCCTCGGAGCAGCAGGTTCTCCGATCCCAACGGTCTGCAAACACACAACAGCTCATTTTTAGACCGTTTCACCACTCTTATTGTCAAGATATAATTGCTATATTCTTCTATCTTAGAACACTGACATCACCTAAAATAAAGTCCTTATTTAAAAACTAAGCCCCTACTGAAGTTCAGGGACAAACGTAACAACACCAAAAAATTAAAGACACATTTTGGATTGTTTTTGAGCAGTGATTGTACTAAACAACCAAAATTACATTCCTATTTTACTGACTCATCCCTTGTTGTTGAATGACCTTTCCAACATTTCTCAGTTAAACTGGCTCAGGCTGAGAAGACTATGACTAAATATAATGAAAGCCCTTTGTTGGACTGATGTGGAGTTTACAGTATTATTTTGTAAAAATTATCGTATTCCTGAGATATGTTTGGTTTACCTAGCCACCGCCTCGTTGTCCATGTAGATGTTGATACGGCCCACGAATCTGTAACGGCAGTAACAGGAAACAAGTGAGAGGAGACAAGGTTCAGACCTTTATTTGAAAAGACGGGTGTTTTTCAGGTGTGTGTGTGTGAGAGAGAGAGAGAGAGAGAGAGAGAGAGAGAGAGAGAGAGAGAGAGAGAGAAGAAGAAGAAGAGAGAAGAGAGAAAAGTGAGTGAGTGAGTGTGTGTGTGTGTGTGTGTGTGTGTGTGTGTGTGTGTGTGTGTGTGTGTGTGTGTACGGTACGTGTGTTGCACTGACTTGTACAGGTCCGGCTGTGGCTGTTCACATTCTATAGTAGCGTGGATGGAGTCAACCTCCTCCTCTGTGCTGTGAGCTTTTGTGTCCTGAACTGCATAGTAAGTCTGGGAGGGATGGAGGGAAGAAAAACAGAGAGGAAGGAGAGAATGGATGGGTAAGCAGGTGAGGGAGGAGGATTCAAGGAGACAATAGGAAGAACAGGTAGGAAAGGTGGTGTGGTGATGATGATTACATGTTTGAAAATTTTGGCTTAAATACAATATACTGTGACATTTTAGGGCAATACCGCCTTTGCAATAAAAAATTCGCAACTTAACTTAAACAGATAAAACTGTCTGTCTTGTACATGAACACACACATACTGTACACACCTTGTGGCTGCTCTCTCCGTCCAGACTGGCTGTAGTAACGTAGCAGGTCCCATCATCTCGAGACGTGGACAGAAGGATGAGATCGCAGGGAAAAGTCTCATCTTCCTTCACCAAGACAACGTCTCCAACCTGAGGCAGACAGATAAGGTCCGATTTGTCTAGTTATCCAAATTTTGCTTTTGTATATCGGTCCCTGTCTGTTAATACTACACCCTATTTAGGACATATAGAAACACTCACTTTTGGCTTAGCACCTGCCCTCATTTGGCTTGGATGTGCATGCTTACTCCTGTTTTTTTAATTTTCCTTTAATTGGAGTAGCATTTCTTTAGTTGAGATCACAAAATGACTGGATGAGGGACAAGACTGGATACATTCAGGGTGGAGGAGAAATATAGGTTCACATTATGATTGTTGTTGAAAGGCGATTGAAATGTACTGGCTTTCTGATATAATCTGAATGAAAAACTAACTCCTAGATGTAGAGTCTTTAAGGATGGCATTTCACTTATCCAGTTAGTATTGCTAATTCAGTTTCTACTAATGCAGTTTGCCTAACAAGCTAACCTTCTGCTTCCCCACCTGTAACCCTCTCAAGATCAGCCAGCAGTCGCAGACATTTGCTCTTTAACAGGACTGTTGATCTTTTAAAAGATTTACTGCATCTGACATTTCAGCTGCAATTTAACTCTGATTGCATTACATAACATACATTAATGTAACAGCCTAAAGCTAAATTGCACACACTCACACTCACACACAGCTTAGTACCAGGAAAATCCCTTGGCATGAGCCAATAAAACAAATGCACCACAGATCTGTTCATGTTACACGGGGTGAGAGTGATTTATCTGGTGACACACAAGCACACGCACACACACACACACACACACACACACACACACACACACACACACACACACACACAAGCACACACACACATACCCTGAGCTTGCGACTTTGTTTGCGGACCACTTTCCCGTGCTGCACCACATGGACAGGACACTGGTTGACAGAGTTGTCTGCTTTGTGTCTCAGCCAGTCCTCATAACCCTGACAGAGAGAAAGAGAGACAGAGATATGATGAAGTGTGTGTGTGTGTGTGTGTGTGTGTGTGTGTGTGTGTGTGTGTGTGTGTGTGTGTGTGTGTGTGTGTGTGTGTGTGTGGGGGGGGGTTTTGCGAGTGGTGTAGTGTTTAACGTCAGTGCCAATAAAGCAAAGTGAAGTGAAATTAAACCGGTTGTGAAAACCTGTGGGTCTCACCTGTTTAATGGCGGTGACTGTGATGACAAAGAAAAGCGGCAGTCCGCTGGTGATGGGACTGGTGGGAGTGTCGATGATCAACTGCCACACACACAGAAAGAGAATTAAATGACGGATGGATGGATTTACAGCAGAATAATGTATCAAAACGACAGACAGCATTAGAGGGGTCATCTGACCTCTGCAGGGAGGCTACTTGACTCTTGTATGATAGGTTACTCAAAGTAAATACATAAACTCCAACAGTAACATCTACATGTAAGGTATCTGATGATCATTGTGGGAGAACTATATTATTGACAATATCGACCAGAAGTCAAACGTCCAAATTGTAATGATGTATTATTCAGAAACGTAAAGCGTTTAACATCAGCACAGAAGCAAACAAAAGCAGTAGAAAGACATTCACAAAGTCTGCAAATCATGTAAAAGTAAACAGGAAAAAACGTTTACCTGAACCAGAAATATGATGAGAAAGTAGAAGTTGGCGACTCTCCTGAACTGCTCAAACATATTCTTTGGGATGAAGTTCCAAAATGTATACTGGAAACATGAGACAGTACATTCAGTCAAACAATACACTGAGTGTCAGTGTTTAAAACGGGCCACACTGTTCTCAGTAGCTATTCATGTCAAATCAAAAACTTCAAACACATGGCTCAGGGTGACATGGAGACAATATGTGGCTTCTTGAAAATCATTATAAGTTTCAAATGGCCCATATAAACACACACACGCAGCTCTGATTCTTTTCAACACTGTGTCCTGCTATCGAGAATAACACTCCAACAACAAAAGAGAAGCTTGAATAGTGCTATAGTAAAATCTCTTCTTTCAACTCATGTATTTGTGTTCCATTATCAAAGCTGCTTCAGTAAGATCTGAATAAAGTGTGTGGGTGTTTTCACTGACCTTGGAGGAGACTATTCTGTTGTCAGGGAATCTTTGTTGTATAAAGGCCTCAGTTCCTGGAGGAGGCTCCTTGTGTCCAATGTAAATGGTCCTGCTGTCGACCCAGTTCTCCTCACCAACACACTGCAGGGAAAAACAAAAACACATTTGAGTGTGTGCTGGAGAATTTTTTATTTTAAATAAAACATCCAACATGTGGACAATCAAACATAATTTGTCATTTTTATTGGACTCCAAAATGAAAAAAGGTTTTCATGGGAGGTAAATAACGTTATAATGATCCCACACTGTCACTCAAACACACACACACACACACACACACACACACACACACACACACACACACACACACACACACACACACACACACACACACACACACTATCAAAACACTCCTACACACTAAGAACAGAATACTGCGTGACACACAGAAACAGATTCGCAGACGTTTGCAGAGACTGAATGAGTAATTTCTCCTCAGTGAATGAGAGCTTTTGTTACCACGGATACACAGACCTGCATGTGACTTAGACTGGAATGCAGGATACACACACATGCGCGCACACAAACACACACTCCCACACACACATGACGACTGATAAGACACCTGAAGGCTTTTGCTCTTTTCACATACTTGTTTTTCCTCTCATTAAAATCTTATCATCACAATGAAAACCTGAAATTGTGAGAGACGTCACACAAATTCATATCAAATTTAATGACTTTATTGAAGACAACGAGCATATTGGCCATTTTTTACTTATTCTTTCACTGTATGCCAGAAACTCCAAAGCCCTAAAGGAGAAACACAAATTCTGAAAACTCTGGTAAATAAATGTTTTGCTCCAAAAAGCAGTATAGGACAACATATGACCAGTGATACAAGTTATTACATGTAGTGTAGAGGTCATTGGTGGATGTCAGTGCTTCTCACTAATGGTGCCTCTGATATGTGAAATTAAATACATTTTAAAAAAATATATGACGCTAAACACAACATGTAAAACATGTACAAAATTAAACATTTATGCTTATTATGAAATACAAACTGACCTCTAAAGACAAACTTTCTGCCGTGGGGATCAAACTCAAAAGGCTTTGTGTGTGCAAGTCCTGACAGGGGGGGTCAAGACATTTTTACGAAAGCCTTCAGCAATTTAGTTGCCATGTCGCAGAGCTATAAACTTTGATGCCCTGCAGCGAGTAGACGCATTTCAGTTTGCTGGTTTTTTGCCTTTTAATAGCCTGATGTTCAACAAGGACGCAGTGTTGACGATACCAATGAGAGACTCATCTTCTGCTCCTTTTTGCATTTTTCCGTTTCCTGCTGCTGTTTAAGTAACTCCACAATATAGAGGATCCAAAGAATTACATTTTTTTATAACTACTAATCCCAACATAGTGCATATTATACAGCTATTTGTGTGGTATTCCAATACTCCAGTTAAACCTAAAACATGCAAGTAAGATCTTTTAAGTATTTCAGGCAAGACTGGACTTGTGTTGGAAAGACACACCTATACACACCTACACACACACACTTTATGACCAGCTGGATTTAGGAAACACACACTATTCAAGTACTATCTCCATGCAGTCCACAAATCCTATAAAAACAGCAGTTCCCACAGCTTTATTAAGACTAATGACTGTTTTCTGATGGTTATTTCTGTATCTGTTTTGTTTGTTTTAACCCTTACCCTATAAAATGTAAACAAAATTGTGAATTGTACAATTTCCCAAAGTCCAAGGTGGTGTCTTCAAATTCATTGTAAAACTCTACTATAAGACAGTTCAAACCCAAAAATATTCAGTTCACTATGCTATAAGACAAAGAAAAGCTGCAAATCATCACATTTGGGAACCAGAAAATGTTGACTAAAGGTATTTACCTTAAAGTACCTTAATTTTCTGTTGATCAAATCAATTAGTCCAATAACTGTCACATAAACACCAGTAACTCTGACATATCATAGAATTGAATCACTGAGTCCCAACTAGAGGGTGACATGGGATTTTCACTCTCTCACGTCCAAACCCCAGAAGAATGCACCGTCCCAGTGCAAATTTAAAATGTGCATACAAACAGTGGTTGTAATGTTTTAAATGGTCCTCAACAGCTTCAAACAACAGATGGAACCCTGTCCAGAGGGCTTCAATGTCGTAGCAGGCCGTAGCCATCTTTAAGCACCGGCCAATTTGAACTGCAGTAACCAGGATGAGAGGCAGGACTCTAAACACACCTAATCCTCTCTCACTCTTTCTCTTGTCTATCTTTCTTCGTTTTTTAGTCATGAAACATTTTCTATACAAGTCCAAAGGCAGCTGTCAATCACAACAAATAAACCTGGAGTTAGTGGTTTAACTCATTGCTAAATAGTCTGTCTACAAACACACAGACACATCTACACAGGCTAACAAGAGGTGACAGTAATCTGTGGCTTGTGAATGAGATAGAGTGTCAAGAGGCTGTATGTCCCACTTTCTATACTCTCTCTCTCTCTCTCTCTCTCTCTCTCTCTCTCACACACACACACACACACACAGTAACCGGTTAACTCACTGCTCTAAGATTACCGTGTTTAGGATGGACAGCTATTTATATCCTGTGACCTCCAACTCGCAAGGGATGGAAATGAAAGGAAAACTAAAAGCTAGGAAGAATTTACATAAAAATAAAAATCTTCAAGATGCACATACAATATATCATCCCTACTTCCCCGTCTTCATCGCCCCCTTCTTTAACTTTCTGAAAGACAGTATTGATGCTGGACCACACTAGCTGACAGATATCTGATTTACAGTGAAGGAGGAGATGAAAACTAGATACCATGGACAGCTTGCCAACTCTGTCGCCCACACAGTGTTAGTGTTCCTCCTCCGCTCTCCCACCTGCCTGCTCCGTCTGCTTCACCTAACACATCTCTTACACACTTCCTGTTTGTTGTCGGCATATGAAAATGAGCTATTACATACACAGGACAACGCACAGGCACTGTAGTTGGTGTACAGTAAATTGATATGACATTCAATATTTTATTTTGAAAGTACTGCTATAGTCTCTTAATATCCTCAAATTTATTTGGGTCGTGTATTGGGCTGTGTAAAAGAATCTTACATTTTGCATTTGAAGACGTCATCTTTGAATGTTCAGCATCACATAGTAACTTTGGGAATTTTCTTCCCCCCCCATGTTTTATAGAGTAAAATATAACTGAAAATAATTGTTGGTTTCAGCTGTAATGTTGTGAAAATGTCACTAATAGGAAAATCTGATAATCTCTAAAGTCAGTATGAATGAATAACAAAGTCAAACAGAAGACAAAGCAAAAACGTATTCTATAACTATTGACCAGTTTTGTGCCTGCAGTACATACATCTAGTAGGTAGACCTACTAGGATCAAAACATTTCCAAGTTTGGACGAGTAAAGATCAACAATGAAATTAATCGTTTTGTCATTTTTAAAGAAGAAAACATCTCTAATGGGAATATTTTCTGGTTTCTTTAGTCCCATCTGACATGGAGAGCTTGGGCTTTGGGAAACACTGATCAACATTTTTCACCATCTTCTGACTTTTTATAATGAAATAATTGTTTCTGCAGCCCTAAAAGGAATTCCTATGACTGTGTACCTGTGTTGATCAGGTAGAGTGAATAGAGACAGATGGTGCCGACTGAGAACCAGTGGGCCTCCTCTCTTACTGTCATCTCCTCCATTTTGTCCTTAATGCAGCTTTATTGGTTTTCTCACCTCTTTGCTCACCATCTCTCACCACAACCTGGATTGCCTCGAAGCAGACAACCTCTCTCCTATCGATTATGTTTAGCTTTCATCCGGATTCAAGCTTTTTACATGAAAGCCTGTCCGTGTTTAATCAAATAAAATAGCATCTTCACAAAATAAAAGCTGGGCTTATAAAATAAAATTGCCCGGGCCTTTAGCCTTTGGATGTAAGTGGAGACTTTGGGCTATTCTGGACCTTGATAATCACTTTTAGCGGCGTTTCATGTTACAGGACGCGGCAGGTTTCAGGGGTGTATTTATAGTTGGAAGGGAAACATTTGTGGTCAGGAGAGAGGGATGGAGAGAGCTCACAGGCTTTGTTTCTGTCTGTCTCACTCAGCACCCACATCCACTTTCGTTAAAGCAGCGTAGAAAGCACAGGGAGCCTTTCAGGGATCACACACACACACACACACACACAGACACACACACACACACACACACACACAGAGGGAAAAACATCCCTTCAACATCAAACATGTATGAGAGCAGCCATACACTAACAATGACACATAATGTTACCTCTGTAGTCACTGGTCCACAGAATATATTTAGATGACAGACAAGCCTCACTTCTCCTATTCTTCTAGTCAACTATGATGTGTGTGTGTGTGTTTCTCTATGTCTTTCTTTATGAGGCAGAAAGATGAGGATTAGGATTTAGATTCAGGGTTACATTAAAGGGGAAGTGTTAGAGCTTGAATGTGCACACAGGTGCATAGAGCAGTCATGTGTGCTTTAAAGAAGTGAAACTAACACTGTGTATGTTATTTAAAAATGCATTATAACTTTTGAACTGACAACAGCTGAGTTTACTTTGTCAAAAACAGCAAATGAAATCTGTGAAACTGCATCAAATATTGAAAATGCATCTGGTATCCCCCATAAATTCAGACATTCAATGTCACGGATACTGGCTTTTAGTATTGTTGTTTCATTCCTCTCTCTGTATTTACGAGATATACCTAAAGGTTCGTGTAAAAGTGACATTTAGCTTTAGAGCTTTATGGCTGCAAGTAACCAAATGTTGGCTTCACAGAAATCCCCCATACTGTGGACTACACTCCATGTAAAACCCTTAAACTATAGAAGGACAAGGGTGAAAAATAATGGATGAAATGGGATTCTTACTCTCAGGAAACAGATATTAATGCTTTTAAACACAATAAAAAAATAAATAAAAAAACTGTACTCAGACTGAAGCATGTCACTCCGATTACAAACTTCAACATTCACATCTTAATGACTGAAATATTTACTTAAACGGGTCAACATGTTGGTGCTTTAAAGATCACACATATTATTCCCACTGGACCTGAACACAGCACTGAAGAGCC